GTAAGTGGCTGTTAAATATTCAATTCAGTTGGCGAAATGAAAGTTTAAACTCTCTCTCCTTATTTCGGCGCGAGAAACACGAATGGAAGGGAAGAAGTTTTGTTCTCGAGTCGCGGGCAAACATACACAGATTTTCACTTTAACCGCTTATCAATCGCCGCAGCTTTTTTGCATTCAGCCCAGGCTACTTTTTTCTCTCCCTCCCCAGCTCCACCCATGAATCACGCATTCAGCTCGCACAATTTCCATGCGTTACTGGAAAAGAAGGAGAATCGCAGCAGCTGCCTCTGGAAAAATCAAACTCGTTTGAAAGTAGTCAATAAGTGATACGCCCGAAAACTTGAGGCCATATTTCACCGTCGCCTCAAAACCTATTTTTTTTCGGCCGCCATTTTTGCAGATCAATCGCACTTAACCTCAATTTTGCGCGCGTCTCTCTCTTGAGAAAGATGATTACTGGGTGCTCTTCAAAATCTCATTACCGCGAGATCGACGCGCCGCCGAGAGTCGCCGAAATTGGCTCAATAAAAGGCCGCAGATCTTATTAAAATTTAGCGCGGCCGTGATTCTCCAAATTAAGTTACACACGAGGGGGTGCAACAGTCGCGTCCCCGAGAAACGCGTTTGGCGGACAATAAAATTTTATTCCCCGAGTTTGCCAACTCAATTTGGGCGGCCGCAAACTGTAAATATGCCATTGGCGGCCATTTCTGCGTCATTATCCAGCAAGGCCGCAAGTTCCACCAAGACTTTGGGAAGACTTTGGAAAGGTGCACAAAAATTATCAAACTAATTAATCACAGGGTATTTTTAGATTCAAGAAAAGAAAGTTGTTATTGTAAATATGTTATTTTAACTTACCGTGAATTTATATAAATTTTTGTCTACGTTTAATGCTTCCTTAGAGCTTCATTTGCAATTCAATATTTTTGCATACTTCTCTCAACAATCAGCTTAGAATTTTATGCTTAAATAAGCTGGTGCGGAAAGGACGAAGGACTAAAAGGAGCCCACGCGCAACGTCAGATGAATTTCCTCTCCACAACCTACGCCAGGATGAAACCGTTCGCAAAGAAAACAAACGCGCTGCGGGGCAAAAACGGTCCTTTGCTTTCTCTCAAACGAGATTCTTCTCGCTCCAGGCATTTTCCGCTGTTGTCAATTTCAACAAAGATTTCTCAATAATTTTTATCTTCCTAGATAATTTTTTTGATTGAGAAGTCGCAAACAGTTCAGGGAGAATTTTCTTTGGGCCATTCCAGTGGAATATAACTTCATCAAGTTTTTTGTTTGTAAATAGATTACTCCTGACCTGCGCAGCCAGCAGTTGAAACAAATAGTTAATTCTACTTTGAATTTTAAATCTTAGATTTTATGTTCTGAAATGATTACAATGCTTGAATCTTCTATTTATATTGATTAAAATTTAACAAATTTTTGTGCTGTGCGGGTTGCAGTCAACATTTTATTCCTTAAAAATAATGGCAAGATTTTTTAAAGAAATCATAAAACTCTCCCTCTTTTTTCCATGCCTGACCTTTTTGCCTGCAACATAGATTCAAATTTTATTTTTCGCAAAAATATCATTTTTTTGCCTCTAGAGCAATATTTTCCAGCGCCTTGCGTCAATACAAATACAAATAGAGGTGTTTTGTGTGCACGAGAGGGAACTTTGCAGACAGGATTTGACAAAAGTGGGCGTGTGTGTATGGATTTGTAGGTCTACACGCAGTACATACACCACTAGACGAAGGGGCGCACAAAGGACGCCGAATTCCAGTGGTGCAGGACGCGAATAAGAAGTGCGGGTTGCATTGTGCGCACTTTGCCATCCTCACATACATATATAAAATCCGAAGCAAACGTGTTCGGCATGGAGCGCGTATCGAGAATATAAATAAATTCATTTCTTGCGGCGAATGAAAATGTGTGTCGCCTCCGCGCAAACATCGGTTCTCGAGCGTGCAGTGCCGGATTTGGGTGTATATTTTTATAGGCAAATCATAGCCGCATATTGTTGAAGGAAAGGGTTGAGTGTGTTTGGGCACGGAGATGAGCCAAGGCTGCGTAAACTCGATACACGACCTGCGATGTTTGGCCTTTTGTGCTCCTCGGGCGGATTGCCGGAGACGGATTATCCCTGACGCGGAAATTTGGGGTTTCGCATCTCTCGTGTGTGGGCTTGAGAAGATCGAGGTTATCAACAGCCAGCCACGTCATGATCAAGCGTCGCCGCAAATTTTCAAACGTCTGTAGTGGAAGCAGAAATTAATTTCATGTACGCGTTGCAACTTCACTTTGATTTAAATTTAGAAATTACTTTAATTGCTTTAAATTGTCATTTATTATTGATTTATAATTTTTACAACTAAGATTGATTTCATAGTATTCATTACATTAAATTAAATTCGGTCTGTTTTAAAATGAAAAATAAATTTCTGATATACAAAAATACTTAATTTTCAATGTAAAAACTAGCAAAGATCTCGGAAAATAATCATTTTCCTTTCAAGTGAAAAACGTGAATGCCTTTTTCTAGTTTTTCTATATTACAAGAAAATCCACCATTGAAAAGGTATTTACAGATTGGAATATTGCTCTACGCCTTTGATCACACAGATCTCTCTTTCTGCGGAGAGAAAATGATCATTTTTCCAAGTTTTAATCAAACCAGGAAGGAATATTATTGATTTGAATTGTCCTTGTCGTAGGTCTAAAAATAGACGGCGGGAGTAAATAATCAGAGTCGCAGTAGCTTTAATCATTCGGAAGCACTAAAACGCAGCCATCAGCATTTGTAACAAAAGTAAAGTCGCAGAGAAAGAGGGAACTTTTTAAATTGGTAATGAATCAATAGCTGGCCGTGTGTGTCGGATGGGATTTTCTCAAGCTCTGCTAAAATTCTAATGAAGACTGAGCCGTATAAAGGGCGGATATGAGAGAGAGAGAGGCAAATCAAGCGTCACTCGCTTCGGGCCAGCCTAATTGTAACTCGAGCCTTAATTGTGATTCATTCGATATCGGACCGGGCTGCTGCTTTTGGCGTGCACAAGAGAGAACACAATCAACCTTTTCGCCCGAACTGAGCCAAGGGAAAAGTTTTAATTCGCTTTTGCCGGGAAAAGGGAAAACGGACAAAAACATGTGTAGCTTAATTAGCTGCAGAGAACAAAAAGCTGTTAATAGGCTTCAAATTTAAAACGCTTTTGATTAATTTGCAAAAGATAGAAAAGCTTTTTACATTAATTGGGGCTGAAAATTCTAAAATCCTCTTAATTAAAACAAAAAATTAATAATTTAATTAAATTTTCTAGAATTTTTAAAGTACAGAATTAAAAACTCATGATTGATAAGAATTTTAATGAAAACTATATTAGAACCAAACACCATAATGACATAATTTAAAAATTAACTTCAAGTGTAAAAAAAAAATATAATTATTGAAAGATGTAAATTAAACGTCTTTAAAACTGTTATTTTTTCTTGATTGATTTAAAATCAAAATCTAATTTCAATGGTTTATTTAAAAAAAATTTGGATTTAAATGGATTTGTTGCTCTGATTTCATGCAAAGGGATTTTGAGCGGAATTTCTGGGATTTGCGGATGAACTTTGGTGATCGCGGCGAGGGTGAGAAGGGGGTGCGTACGGGGAATTGCGCTTTGGCACGTGCGTAACCGGGGTGCAATAAGTTAGTTTGATGGCACGAGGATTAATGGGCGTCTAGGCGACTCGACTCTTGTTGGCCTAGAACGAAACCGGCCTAATGCGCCGACTTTGTTTACAGCGAGTGCGGCTTACGCGATATAAATTGCGGAGAGAATCCTCCGCACCCCCTCCCTGCACCCCCGAAAGCAGCACTCAATAAAATGTATGCCCGCAAGGTTGGTGAAATTCCGCGAGTTCTGCAGCAGCCCAAAGCCATACACGTCTTTCTAATTTCTCAGTGCGAGACTCAGTCTTGAATAACGCGCCGGCAGAATTTAATGCCACTTTGTTCTCGCCAAGAGCTTTCAAGCAGTCAAAATGTATCCGTTTCCGAGTGCACAGAAATTTCCCGCAAATGGTTCAACTCTCTCAAGTGCGCGCTACTTTAACATTTTCAAGGTTTATTGTTAGAATTTGAAGCGATCGAAATCGAACGTATTTAAACAACAAATTATTGAAACACTTAATCAATGAAACTATTTTTGAAGCCAAATTATCTTAGTTGAAAGAGACTTACGAATGTTATCATAATTTCCTTTAATTGTCAAAAATTATAAAAATTAATAATTGCGTGGTTGTCATTTTAATGCAGCTTGAACTTCAATTTACATTAATTTTATTTGAAAACAACAAACTAGAATGAGCATTTTCATGATGCAGGATAAAAAACGATTTAAACTTCATTTCTTGCCATTTCTCGCATTTTGATTTTGGAAAGAATTTCCAATCGAGTGTTAAAAAGCAATTGAATTGCAAGAGTGAGCGTTGAAAACGAATCGCTCAATCTCGGCCGGTGCGGAATGAGGCCTGAATGCCAACCGGAACGTGACTCTTTCTCATTTTTCCACATGTAAGCAGGCGCGGGGCGAAAATAAGAGACGCTGTCAGAGCTGCAAAAGCGGTTTGAAAATTAATGGTTTCCTTCCCCTTTGATGACAAATAACATTCCGAGCGGAATATCAAATAAGCCTCGGCCAGTCTCGCGGAGAGGAAAAAATATAAGATCTTGTTGGAATTAATTTGCGCGCGAGTGGCATAAATCAGCTACGACAAAATTTTAATTAGGCCGAGTGTGCGCGCTTTGTCCCCGTCTTCTTCTTCTTTCGCTAATTTATCTCGTTTTAATTAGCGCCCTCCGTGGAGCGCGCTTGAAAAATGGAAATTGATTAATCACCGGCGCGGGCTGCTGCGTTTTCTCAGGCCGTCGCTCAAATTGGTTTTGTTGCTTCCTCCTACTTTTCTCGCCGCCGCACGCTTTTAATGAATGTGTCTGGCGAATAAGCTCTACTCACCGACTACGTAAACGGGGGCCATGACGAGCGCGGTGTCGAACGACGGCGCCTCCACGGAAACCTCGCACCTGTACTTGTCGCTCAGCCCAAAGTGCGCGTCCATTATCACCACCCGGTTCAGTCCGGACATCGTCAGCTGCAACACAAAAGGACAAAACGCACAATTATTATTTGTTCAAGATGAATTAAATTGTCTAATTTTAAAATACTTTTCTTCTCTTAATCAATTAGAAATGTAATCGCCTGTAAATTATGATCGATGCATTTCCATTTAAGCGTTGATTGTCTCTGTGATGCATAATTTGCAACCAAAGGAATAGACACATTTGTATTTATTTTTATTTCATGAATTTCAAACCTGGTGAAAAAAGTTGCACCCTTTTGAAAAAGTGAATCAACTGCTATTTGCGGCGAATAAGATTTAAACTAACAGGGATTGAGTGTTGAGTCTCCTTTTTCATTTAATTATAAAGATAATTTCCTAGATTTTAAAGTGGTCCGCGCAACTATTTGACAATAGTTTTCTCAATTTTTGATTAATACAAGGTTCAGCTTTAAAAAAGGTCGGAGCAAATAAACTCAGCAATTGTGTCGTCAAATCAAGTGTTGAGCCTCCTTTTTCAACAAATTTTAAAGATATTTTCCTAGATTTTAAAGTTGTTCGCGCAACGATTTGATTAATTTCTCAATTTATGATTAATACAAAGTTTAATCTTTTTAGCTTAATATGTCTCTATTATTTAAATAATATACGCGGTAGGCTTGTGGCATTATGCAAATTTCAAACTTAAAATAGCGACGGTGGTGGCGGAGCTGCGTCCTTGAAATCCGGGGAGCTCTTAGTCACACACACACACACATCACGCGGGGTGAAAGTTTGAGCACTTGAAACGCAGCGGGAAAGTTGGCTGTTTCAGGTGAAAGGGTTGCGTCTGCGTCACTCAAAAGGTTGTTTACTCTGCGACGATAGAGAGCGAAAGATTGAGCCAAGTTGCGACGGGTTGATGGCGCAAGAAGTTTTTAGGCCATGTGTGTGTGTGTGAGTGAGCGTGGTATTGATAGAGCGCAACTGTGCGGAGGGCAAATTTGTAATGAGCAAAACTTAAATGACACTTCTTCTTCTTGTTGTTGCTACCCTATTACTTTGATGTTGCGGATTCACGCTGGAATTTGAGCCGATATTCAATCTCATTAAATGCGAGAGAGAGACACGCCGACGCAGAACACGCCCCCACTGAAATGCGAGCAGCCGCTCCCAGGAATTAGTGGCCGCAGGGCTCGAGTTGCGACTGAGGCGACACACCGACCGCACCACACTGCCCGACTTTGCAAATTGCGCTCAACAAAAGTTCTTGGAAAAACCACGGCTATTTTCGTCCGAGCAATTAACTGTTCAAAATATTGTTTGTTCTCAAAATTCCTGTTTTGTAAAACACAATTATTTCTTTATAATTTACAGAAATTGAATATTTTTTAATTCGATTTACTTTTTGATGGAAGTTGACAATTCAGTTTCATGCACCAAAACTGAAAAAGTTTAGCTTTAAATAGAATTCAGATATATTTATTAAACTAAAATTAAAATATTTCAATACGATCAATGTAAAGTATTTTGTCGACCGTTCATATCTTTTATTTTTCCATTTTAATTGGAATGATATGAACTAGATTTGGTGAAAGTTATATTAATTTTGGTCTGGCCAATTTGTAGAAAAAGTTATTTTAGAAAATTCTCATAAGAAACAATGTTGAATTTCAAAAATTCAGTTCTCCAAATGACTTAAATTTCTCGTTTCAACTGACATCGAAACAAATTTAGAGAAAATTAGCATCAAAATTAATCCGGCTCTCCTTAAACATAAGTTTTTGTTCCATGAGTAAACTCAGCATTGTATAAACGAATCTTTATCACTTCAAATGTTTTCTTTTTTGAACAAACCGTTTCGTATTGATTTTTGATTTGTCGCCATTACCAATCAACATCGCCACGTCTTAGCTACATTTTTCTTTTCTTTAATAAAAACAACGATAAACTGTGCTTTACGTGCCTGTTTGATTCGTAGGACAAAAGAATGGCAAACACACACACACACACACACACCAGCATGTACATCCGCAATGATTAAAGCAGTGGTGCCAGGTCACGCTGGCTGTACATAATGTACTGCTGGTGTGCAGTGGCGCGAAATGTGTTATTGCAAATGTAGTTTTGTGCGCCTCGAGTTCCGCAACAAAACAACAAAACAAACACACAGAGCGACTGTTTGTGACATTCCAGGCTAGAAATGTAAACGCGGCTTTCTTCTCTCCGAAATAATAATTTATAAGCCCAGTGTTGTAATTAAATTGTAGCCGCGGCGGCGCCATTTTTAGTCCCGAGGCTCAATTTTGCCCAGGTACAAAAGCGTGTCCTTTGAATAAATTGCGTCGCTGGCGAAAATGGGCAAAAATCGAAGCCACTTAAAAGTTTGTAACAAGTGGCTCGGAAAGAGTGAGAATCTGCAGCCTCGGGGCCAAAACCCGGCCGGGCTGTGCAGAAGGGAGAGAGAGGAACAGATTCTCTTTCGCAGATAATGGCCTGAGTTATTTTCCAGCGCAGATATGCGGATCAGCCTCGAGTGAGACGATTCTTTTGTAATGTGTATCGGCAAACGGAAGCTAAAAAAAGTGGGTCAAACTTTTGCGAAAATTGGGGAGAGAAGAATAAAATGGATTTTGACGGTTTCATTTCAGTTAAGCAGCCGGCTGAGCACAGAGGTTGAGCGGATTGCATAACTACAACTTCAAATACTATTTCTCTCCACTCAAATTGATTTATTATAATCAAATCTGACAAAATACTGATCAGAGTTGAAGAATTTGCTTTCTTGCTAAATTAATTCTAAAAAAACTCAAATTACCTCAATTCATGATTGCTATTCATCTGCTGTAATTTTAAATTTCAATTTTGCGTTGCTGAAGATAAAAATAATAAAAAATTGAATTGCAATTAAAATATTTAGAAAATAATGCCGCTGGCAAAAATTATTACTGCACTAATTGAATAATAAATGCAATCGGAGTTGGCATCAGAAATAGTGATTCGGCTCAAAGAAAATGCGTCGCTGGCGGATGAATTTCCAGTCGGCGAGCTGCGTCTAATCAGGCGAGACGAAAGTTGCCAGCGAGAGCAAAGTGAAAGGGCGTACGTGTAGTTAATTGGGTGGACATGCAGGAAAGTGAGCCCAGCTAGGCTCGAGCAATCGGCTCAATTATCGCACTCACGTTGACGTTGACTCCGGACGAGGGAAAAACCTTTCCCGGCGGATTGTCCTTGGGCAGGTATCGGTAGAACTCCTTTTTGCCCTTGTACCATTTGACTGCGTACAGCTTGTCTCCCTCGGTGTCGAAGTGGCACTCGAGTTTGATCGACTCGCCCACAGGTACGCCTCCTGGAGAGATGACGCGCACGTCCTTCAGACCGCCCACCACTGCAACAAACAAAACAAAAGTCAGTGAAGCAAAAATCTATAAATATAACAAGCAATAATCAAATCCGAAAAAGGTAAGATTTGTGTATTTTTTAATTAATTTATATTTTATTTAAAAGAATTAAACTATCAAATTGATTATTATGATGATGATAAAAAAACAAAAGAATGATTAATTTCTTGGAATATTGTTATCCTCGCTTGCATAATCTAATTTTAATTTAATTTGAATAATTATACATTGATGTATGTGGACAGTGAACTTATCCTTTTGAAAGAAATAACCAAATAATCAAATAATTTTTCTTCCCTCTTCGATAATATTACAACAAAAATTGAATATTCACAGATTATTTTGACAGTTCAAAGTAATCTTCATATGAAAAAATGCAACTCCTAAACTTTTTCTCCATTTTTTTTTCGATTTTATAAAATATTCATGTTCTACACGCTTCCTCCTTTTTTCCTCCTTTGTAATGTCCAAGAAAAGCAACAAATTTTCCTGTGACAGCGGCGGCGGGCGCGCGTAAAATGTGTAAAAAATTCGAGCAGGCACAAAAACGAAGCCTGGCCAGATAATGGCCCAATTTACATTACAACAAACGGTCTGCAGCGAAATAAAAGTGGCTTCCCTTTCCCGGCTGCTTTATGCGCCAACTTTTGCAAAAACAATGGGCGCGCGCTCATCTCCATTATTATTGTTTGCGGACGAGAGCCACCTTAAAAAGCGCGTGGCTAAATTCATGCATCACGGCTTCGGTGCAAAAGAGATTAAACCGCACGAAAGAAGTTGGACCAAGCGAATTTGCATCTCAATGGCGACGAGAATGCGAGAGAGAGAGAGAAAGCAACTTTGGCCCCTGCGACTGAAAATCGCATTCATTAAACTGGATTTTGAAACTCGCTGAGCACAAGAAGTGCTTTTGGAATTATGAGACACAATGAGGCTTTCTTCAAATCGCGATGGATCAAAACCGCAAATTGGCAAAATTATATTATCAGAGGATTATGAGAAAGTGATTCTTTTGTTACATTGATTTTCTAAAAATAAAATTTTAAGTCTGCCAGAGCTCAGAATTTTTCATATTATAAAAATTTTTCCAGATCCTTATTAATTCTAATTTTATTTATTTTTGGATTGCTTGATCGTTTTATTGAAAAGTCTTTGAAATATTTGTAGAATTTTTCCAATTAGCTGGTTCATTTTTTTCCTCATTAAAAAGGCGCCTTTTTGTTGGATTAAAAATTCAATTTTTTCCTCGTTCCAAGATTCCTTAATTTTCTTATTCAAACGTTGAAAGAATTTTAATGTGGATTCAAAAACTGAGCGAGAAAACCAATTCTAAAAAAACAAATTAAAATGTCCGAATTTCCAACTTTCATTGTATTCTTTTAATATTAGGATTCCTGTTTTCAAAATATTAAGTTTTAGCTTTGAATAAGCAAAATTACATGAATTTCATTTTTGGTTATAAATAAAATTACTCCTTGAAAGTTAAAAAGGGCCTTGTAAGAGATTTCGGCAACATTTCTGCCTCTTCTGCAAAAATTTCCACGATATTTTCCCCGCCGGCAGTTCCTCCTCGTATCTTTGAGCGCTCAAGATTATGTAGCAGAAAAGCTTGCGGCTCATCAAGAATGCAAATTATGCCTCGATGTGCATATCAGATGCAGTAAATAGGAGACGGGGTGTGATTGCGAGACTCTCTATCGACATATTTATGCCTGCACGAACAAAGAGAGAAGCTTCATGTATTTGCGTTACTTGTCAGCTTCGGGGATATAAATGGCGGCGAAATGCACCTGCACAGTCACACACAACGAGCTCTATTTATTCATGGGACACACGCGCGGATGCAATTTTTCTCTCTCGCTCTTTTATTGCTTCGTTTATTGCGCGACTGCTGCAGGACTCTTCGTGTCACGGGAGGACAATTTCATAAATGGGATCGGATGCTTTATTAGATGCATTGTGTGCGAAATATGCATGTGAGCAATATCCATGCAAAGCTGCAAAAAGCTCCACTTAAACAGGAATTTATATTCTTCTGCAAATCGTATTTTATTTTGTTTCCAGTTTTGGATTTTGCAGGGATCACACTTGGTCCTGTATTTAATTTAATCTGAAGGCAAATAAATTGAGTAATTCTGTATTAGTTTTATAAAATTTTTGTAATTTAAACTATTTATCTATAAATAAGAGCAAAGCAAAAAAACTCTGCTTGCAACAAGTAAGATTAAGTGTCGAGGCAGCTGCAGCATAAAATGCTTAAGCTATTTTTCTAGATTTTAAAGTGCTTTGAGCTATAATTTGGTCGTTTTTTCCGTTTTCTCAATTTTTGTAATTTAAACTATTTAACTATAAATAAGAGCAAAGCAAAAAAACTCTGCTTGCAACAAGTAAGATTAAGTGTCGAGGCAGCTGCAGCATAAAATGCTCAAGCTATTTTTCTAGATTTTAAAGTGCTTTGAGCTATAATTTGGTCGCTTTTTCCGTTTTCTCAATTTTTGTAATTTAAACTATTTATCTATAAATAAGAGCAAAGCAAAAAAACTCTGCTTGCAACAAGTAAGATTAAGTGTCGAGGCAGCTGCAGCATAAAATGCTTAAGCTATTTTTCTAGATTTTAAAGTGCTTTGAGCTATAATTTGGTCGTTTTTTCCGTTTTCTCAATTTTTGTAATTTAAACTATTTATCTATAAATAAGAGCAAAGCAAAAAAACTCTGCTTGCAACAAGTAAGATTAAGTGTCGAGGCAGCTGCAGCATAAAATGCTCAAGCTATTTTTCTAGATTTTAAAGTGCTTTGAGCTATAATTTGGTCGTTTTTTCCGTTTTCTCAATTTTTGTAATTTAAACTATTTATCTATACATAAGAGCAAAGCAAAAAAACTCTGCTTGCAACAAGTAAGATTAAGTGTCGAGGCAGCTGCAGCATAAAATGCTTAAGCTATTTTTCTAGATTTTAAAGTGCTTTGAGCTATAATTTGGTCGTTTTTTCCGTTTTCTCAATTTTTGTAATTTAAACTATTTATCTATAAATAAGAGCAAAGGAAAAAAACTCTGCTTGCAACAAGTAAAATTAAGTGTCGAGGAAGCTGCAGCATAAAATGCTCAAGCTATTTTTCTAGATTTTAAAGTGCTTTGAGCTATAATTTGGTCGTTTTTTCCGTTTTCTCAATTTTTGTAATTTAACCTATTTATCTATAAATAAGAGCAAAGGAAAAAAACTCTGCTTGCAACAAGTAAAATTAAGTGTCGAGGAAGCTGCAGCATAAAATGCTTAAGCTATTTTTCTAGATTTTAAAGTGCTTTGAGCTATATTTTGGTTGTTTTTTCCGTTTTCTCAATTTTTGTAATTTAAACTATTTATCTATAAATAAGAGCAAAGGTAAAAAACTCTGCTTGCAACAAGTAAAATTAAGTGTCGAGGAAGCTGCAGCATAAAATGCTTAAGCTATTTTTCTAGATTTCAAAGTGCTTTGAGCTATAATTTGGTCGTTTTTTCCGTTTTCTCAATTTTTGTAATTTAAACTATTTATCTATAAATAAGAGCAAAGCAAAAAAACCATGCTTGCAACAAGAAAGATTAAGTGTCGAGGCAGCTGCAGCATAAAATGCTCAAGCTATTTTTCTAGATTTCAAAGTGCTTTGAGCTATAATTTGGTCGTTTTTTCCGTTTTCTCAATTTTTGTAATTTAAACTATTTATCTATAAATAAGAGCAAAGGAAAAAAACTCTGCTTGCAACAAGTAAAATTAAGTGTCGAGGAAGCTGCAGCATAAAATGCTTAAGCTATTTTTCTAGATTTTTAAGTGCTTTGAGCTATAATTTGGTCGTTTTTTCCGTTTTCTCAATTTTTGGTAATTTAAACTATTTATCTATAAATAAGAGCAAAGCAAAAAAACTCTGCTTGCAACAAGTAAGATTAAGTGTCGAGGCAGCTGCAGCATAAAATGCTCAAGCTATTTTTCTAGATTTTAAAGTGCTTTGAGCTATAATTTGGTCGTTTTTTCCGTTTTCTCAATTTTTGTAATTTAAACTATTTATCTATAAATAAGAGCAAAGGAAAAAAACTCTGCTTGCAACAAGTAAGATTAAGTGTCGAGGCAGCTGCAGCATAAAATGCTCAAGCTATTTTTCTAGATTTTAAAGTGCTTTGAGCTATAATTTGGTCGTTTTTTCCGTTTTCTCAATTTTTGTAATTTAACCTATTTATCTATAAATAAGAGCAAAGGAAAAAAACTCTGCTTGCAACAAGTAAAATTAAGTGTCGAGGAAGCTGCAGCATAAAATGCTTAAGCTATTTTTCTAGATTTTAAAGTGCTTTGAGCTATATTTTGGTTGTTTTTTCCGTTTTCTCAATTTTTGTAATTTAAACTATTTATCTATAAATAAAAGCAAAGGTAAAAAACTCTGCTTGCAACAAGTAAAATTAAGTGTCGAGGAAGCTGCAGCATAAAATGCTTAAGCTATTTTTCTAGATTTCAAAGTGCTTTGAGCTATAATTTGGTCGTTTTTTCCGTTTTCTCAATTTTTGTAATTTAAACTATTTATCTATAAATAAGAGCAAAGCAAAAAAACCATGCTTGCAACAAGAAAGATTAAGTGTCGAGGCAGCTGCAGCATAAAATGCTCAAGCTATTTTTCTAGATTTTAAAGTGCTTTGAGCTATAATTTGGTCGTTTTTTCCGTTTTCTCAATTTTTGTAATTTAACCTATTTATCTATAAATAAGAGCAAAGGAAAAAAACTCTGCTTGCAACAAGTAAAATTAAGTGTCGAGGAAGCTGCAGCATAAAATGCTTAAGCTATTTTACTAGATTTTAAAGTGCTTTGAGCTATAATTTGGTCGTTTTTTCCGATTTCTCAATTTTTGTAATTTAAACTATTTATCTATAAATAAGAGCAAAGCAAAAAAACTCTGCTTGCAACAAATAAGATTAAGTGTCGAGGCAGCTGCAGCATAAAATGCTCAAGCTATTTTTCTAGATTTTAAAG